CCTCGTGGCCGCCTCGATTGCTTCTTGACTTGCACTCCAAGTCCTTTGGATCACGTTCGTTCCAAAAATTACGCTCCCGAAGGTTTCATTCCATTTGGACTTCGTTTCATATTCCTTTTCTTTGAAACACTGAAATAGGCAAAAAAACAGCAATACGGGCTGGGCCTCCGGTTAGTAGGTTAGGCCCAAAAACGATATAAATGTGTGAAGTAAAGCCCATAAACATCCAAAACAGGTAATATAATAGCATGGAACAATCAAAAATTACAGATACGTTGGAGACGTATCATCCCCCCCCCCCTTTCCTTCCTCCTCCCTCTCTTCCCTTTTCCCCGTCCTGGTAAAAGGAAGGGGGGGCGAATTGGAATAGGGCCCCCAAGTAGGATTCCTCCTACTTGGGGCGCCCAAGGCAGCTCCCCTCCCCCTCCCACATATATATACATGGGGAGGGGGCGCCGAGAAGTCACACCAACGATTGTTAGCCATGTGCGGCGCCCCCTCCATAGTTTACGCCTCCGGTCATATTCACGTAGTGCTTATATAGACGAACCCCTGCGCGGATAACTTCACCATCACCATCACCATGCCGTCGTGCTAACGGAACTCTTCTACTTCCTCGACACTCTGCTGGATCAAGAGTTCGAGGGATGTCAACAAGCTGAACATTTGCAGAACTCGGAGGTGTCGTACGTTCGGTACTTGATCGGTTAGAACGAGAAGAAGTTCGACTACATCAACCGCGTTGGCAAACGCTTCCGCTTTCGGTCTACGAGGGAACGTGGACACACTCTCCCCCTCTCGTTGCTACGCATCTCCTAGATAGATCTTGCGTGAGCATAGGAATTTTTTTGAAATTGATGCTACGTTACCCAATATCAAGGTGTGGTTAACAGAGCCAGTCACCTTGGCTGGCCAGCATGGCAGTGGACACGTGCGGCGAGGAGGAAGATTGTGTGGCCATAGCGTATTCATCCATCATAGAGTATTTCATCCTCGCCATGTTTGGAGCAAAACTCATTGAGCTACTTGATGTCTGCTAGAACTACGTCAGTATTTCTCCAAAGAGGAAGGGATGATGCAGTATAGCGACGGTAGGTATTTCCCTAAGTGATGAGACCAAGGTTATCGAACCAGTAGGAGAACCTCCTCACACCACGTAAACAACACCTGCACACAAATAACAAATATTCGCAACCCGACATGTTAAAGGGGTTATCAATCCCTTCCGGGTACGGCGCCTCAAGATAGGCAAATAACGTGAGGTAGAAATGGTAGATAGGATAAATAGATCGCGAAACAAATAAATTGCAGCAAGGTATTTTTGTATTTTTGGTTTAATAAATCTGAAAATAAATGCAAGGAAAAATACATCACAAAGGCAAATATGATGAAAAGAGACCCGGGGGCCGTAGGTTTCACTAGTGGCTTCTCTCGAGAAAAATAGCAAACGGTGGCAAAACAATTACTGTGGACAATTGATAGAACTTAAAATAATCATGACGATATCCACGCAATGATCATTGCATAGGCATCACGTCCAAGATTAGTAGACCGACTCCTGCCTGCATCTACTACTATTACTCCACACATCCACCGCTATCCAGCATGCATCTAGTGTATTAAGTTCATGAGAAAATGGAGTAATGCAATAAGAATGATGACATGATGTAGACAAGATCCATTTATCTATTGCCGAGATATAGATCTCATCTTGTTATCCTTAGTAGCAACGATACATACGTGTTGATTCCCCTTCTGTCACTGGGATCAAGCACCATAAGATCGAACCCACTACAAAGCACCTCTTCCCATTGCAAGATAAATAGATCAAGTTGGCCAAACAAAACCCAAACATCGGAGAAGAAATATGAGGCTATAAGCAATCATGCATATAAGAGATCAAAGAAGACTCAAATAACTTTCATGGATAAAAACATAGATCTGATCATAAACTCAAAGTTTATCGGATCCCAACAAACACATCGCAAATAGACTTACATCATATGGATCTCCAAGAGACCATTGTATTGATAATCAAGAGAGAGAGAGAGTGAGAGAGAGAGAGAGGGAGAGAGAGAGAGAGAGAGAGAAAGCCATCTAGCTACTAACTACGAACCTGTAGGTCTACAAAGAACTACTCATGCATCATAGGAGAGGCACCAATGGAAGTGGTGAACCCCTCCATGACGGTGTCTAGATTGGATCTGGTGGTTCTGGACTCTACGACGGTTGGAATTGATTTTCGTCGACTCCCCTAGGGTTTCTGGAACATTTGGGTATTTATAGAGCAAAGAGGCGGTTCAGGGGGCACTTAAGGTGGGCAGCACCCACCAGGGCGTGCCTGGGCCTCCTTGCGCACCCTGGTGGGTGCTGCTCCCCTCGAGCAACCCCCCAGGTGCGTCCTTGGCCCACTGGCTCTCTTCTGGCCCAAAAAACCCTCCAGGAGTTTCGTTGCATTTGGACTCCGTTTGATATTGATTTCCTATGATGTAAAAACATGCAGAGAACATCAACTGACATTGGGCACTATGTCAATAGGTTAGTACCAAAAAATGATATAAAATGACTATAAAATGATTGTAAGACATCCAAGAATGATAATATAACAACATGGGACAATAAAAATTATAGATAAGTTGGAGACGTATCAACATCCCCAAGCTTAATTCCTGCGCGTCCTTGAGTAGGTAAATGATAAAAACAGAATTTTTGATGTGGAATGCTGCTTAACATGTTCATCACATTTCTTTTCTTTATAGCATGGACATATGGACTTTTATATGATTCAAAGCAATAGTCTAGTTTTGACATGAAGACTTTAATACTCAAGCATACCAACAAGTAACCATGTATTTTAAAATATCAACACTAAAGCAAGTTATCCCTAGCCCATCACTCGAATATTAGCTACACCCAATGCTAGAAGGGTCTCTTATGACTTCAACAAAGTTGGGATGGATACTAATCATCTTAAGATCTCCTTTATCATTGCTAGAAGTTGCACCTTTGTTTTTAGTGACTTGAGTAGTCTTGCCAATTTTCACAGGAGTTTTAGCGGAAGCAAAAGTCGTACCTAGATTAGAAAAAAATTCTTGCAGTTTATCAATCCTAGACGGGCTTTCTTCGATTCTTTCGTGAATTATGGTTCCCTTTTCTTTTAGCAAATTAAAAACGTCTCCCCTTTTGACCCAACTTTATTAGCATAACTTTGCATATTTTTATCCAAGTTTTCAATATGTTCTACGGCAAGCATTTCTTTTCAATAGCATCTAGTCTTTCCATAACATGCTCGAGAGTCAATATTGTTTCAATGATCATGAGTGGTGGTGAACCCACTAAATTTCCCAAAGCATTAAAAGCATCAAGAGAAGGACACATCAAGAAGTTCCCACCGGTAATAGTATCAAGGACGAATCTGTACCAAGTGGTAATGCCCACATAAAAACAACGAAGAAGAACAATGGTAGATTGCTTGCGAATAGATCTATTATGAGCATTGCAAATCCTATACCAAGCATCTTTTAAATTTTCTCCTCCCCTTTGTTTGAAGTTGAGAACCTCGTTTTCGGGGGTGCACGCATAGAAAAAGAAAAATCTGTAACGACAAAAAATGATAAACAAGATTGCACACGAAAAACCGATCTGACGAGAAAACGGCGAACGAAAAAGAGGGCGAATAAAACGGCAAATTTTTGTGAAGTGGGGGAGAGGAAAACGAGAGGCAAATGGAAAATCCCATTGTTAGAGTCTGGACCAAAATGGAGCCTCCCCGTGCATTTGGATTTTCAGCCGTCGGATCTGTTTTACCAGTCGCTGCTGACCGTTGGATCTCGGGCTCGGTCGCTGTGGGCCGTCGGATCTTTACCCGGTCGTCTTCAATCGTCCGATATTTTCGTTATGAGCCGTGTCCCGCCCGGCCGTGCCACCGCGCGTAATTAAGCTGCCCCGCCGAGGGCATTCTCGTCATTTTGCGTAAAGTGGTATAAAAGCCCCTCGCGCACCGACGCCTCCCCCGCGCCCAGCTCCTCCACTATGCCGCCTCCTCCCATTCCCTAACCCTATCTGCTCCCCGCGCCACCGTCTCCTCCTTCGCCTAGCCCGCCGGATACTCGTCGTCGTCCTCGCATCCACACGGGAGGTGCTCCGCCTCTTCCTCCCTCCTGGTTTCGGGCTAGGCATCACCTTCGTCGCCGGCGTGGCTCCGGTGGACTCTGGCGGGCTCCTCTCCGTCTTCTCCCTCGTCTCACGCGCGGTTCCGCTTCTCGCTGGCCACCGGGTGTAGCCTTGCAGGGGCGCATCGGGCTGGGCCCGCGCCGCACAGCCGTGAGGAACATAGAAGAGCACACCACCGGGCCGCACAGCAGGCAAGGAAGGAACGCCACCGCGGAATGGGTAGGTCAACGCCGCAGATTGGGGAGGAGCGCCGTCGCCGCCTGGACCAAGCTCCCTGCTCCACCGACCAAGGACGCTCGATTCCGGCCACCTGCAGCACATCAAGCCATCCGCTAACAGGTCCCTTATCTTGTTCCTCGATTAGTTTGTTGTTCTGACCACCTGCAATACAAACCAAACTGAACTGATATGTGATCCTGCAGTACAAACCAAACTGAACTTATCTTCTTTCTCTGAATATGTATGCCATGGTTTGACCATTAGATATAGCAGTTCTGAAATTAGATATTGTTCTGAAAATCAGATATTGTTGAATTTAAGAGAAGCTACAGCAATCAATCGTAGCTAACTGGTTGTATGGATTCACATGGTTTCCAGAACTCTTTTCATAGCTAGCTGATCACTTGGTGGAGGACAATATGTGCACTACTATTCTTGATCAAGTCACTTTTCTATAATGTTTGAGCTCACCAATGGTGATGTAGTCAACATATATCTCTTCTGCTCCTGTCAGCTAACCTGTTCATGCCGAGGGCTTATGTATGGGTGATCATTCTTTTCACTTCCTCTGAATCTCCTCTATCCATTATAGAGGAAGAATATGGATAATGGTCGCGGGGCCATCGCCCCTGCTCGACGTGCGCAGCGAGCAAGGTCTGCTGCTCTCAAATGCATTTTTGACTCGCACATTTATTTAAGTCTCGTACAGGAGTGATCCCAGAAATCTCATCTCATCTCGTTCTTTTTCATTCATATGAAACCATCAGTTGCATGTGGTGTGCAGAGTTCGTTCTACGCGTCAGGAAGGAAGTGCAGAGAGGGAAGTTGCCTCCAGATGTTGCTGATAACTTCGAAAACCTGTACTACAATTACAAGAATGAGGTAAATATACTTCTTGTTTCCTGTCTGGTATAGTTAGATCCTTATTCACTTATTACTTATTACTCATGACATATATTCTGTGATTGCTTTGGCGTCTTCAGGTCCTACAAAATGGGGATCCAAATGCATATCAGATCATGCTTTCCAACATGATGGATTTATTTGACCGCATTCTGCTGGATGCAGAGGTCCTATTTCTATGCATGTTACCTTCCCAATTCGCTCTCACATTTTCTCTTCCTTCCAAGATGAACCTTTTACACCAATCTTCGTGTTCTTTTGCAGAGTCCATTTACGTTTCAGCCTTATCACAAGGCCATCAGAGAACCATTTGACTATTACACCTTCGGTCAGAATTACATTAGGCCACTGGTAGATTTTAGGTAATGAAGAATCTGATCTGAGAACATATAAGAGGCTCTGTTTGGTTCAAATAGTGTCATATGAAGTTTGTTGTACTTCTCATGGATATCTTCTGTGTAAACAGGAATAGTGATACATTATGCCTCATCAGAGAACCATTTGACTATTACACCTTTGATTAACTCTTGATTTAGTTGTTGACACAGTCGTCTTGTGTGCTACCTAATTAGTGATTTGTTTTGCAGGTACAAATCTGGGTGTGGATTGCTGCCTTGCCTTTCCAGCAGGCAAAGGTTCAGTTGGCTACAGGTTTCTTGTTGTATCTATCACTGCAGTTACACAATATCTTGTCTATCCAATAATTGGAAGCCTTGCCTACAATTTTCCATCTGAGGTGATCATTCTTGCCTTGCCTTTCCCCAACCTAGGCCTAAACATAATGTTTCATAACCCCACCCCAGGCCTACAACATTTGTTTTCTGTCCTATTGTGGTCGTGTTTTGTTCCACTCTGGTGCATTCATTTTGATGCTTTATTTGATTATGTTTTTGCTGTAATGCATGCAATAGATTTGTTATGATGTTTTGTGATAATCATGGCAGACTAAAGCTATGTTATCTATGCAGTATAATAGTACCATTAAAATTCAAGCTCCTTTTGGCATTGTAACAGTGATGTCTAATTACCATGCAGCGCAAAATGTCTAACTAAATTGTGCTATGGAGCTTGCACTATCTGAATGAACTGCCATCCTGAATTAAATGTGTAGGCTAAAGAGAAATGTGGAAATAGCAGTCGTTTCACAAGGATATGTTACTACGGTTGCTTTCAAATGTTGATTTATCTTTCTTCATGTAGTCATTTGCTATATAGTTTTGAAGTTTACAGGTCATGAGATTTTTGATGTCATATTCTAAACCTTTGAGCATTCTTTCTAAGAATATCTTTATTTTTCGTCGCAGCATTCTTGCAGAATAATTATTATGTGTTCATCAATGATAACAATGATACCTGATTCAAGATTAGGTGGTCTACAATCCGCCGACTCTCCAAAACCATATCTCCAGCCCATCAAATCTGAAAATTAAAGGTCTGCCTTGAAACTGTGCCCCCCTTTTCCTATTGCTCCAGTCCCTTTTTGTGAATATTACTTCCCATGGACGTTCTGCATTAATGTCCCAGATTGCAAAATGTTAGTATTGCTATTTCTTTTGTCATGTAGAGATGGCCGCGACATGGGCAATTATGTATCTATAGCTATTATTTTTAGAAGAACCACATCTCTACGGTCATTTTTTAGAAGAACCACATGGGCAATTATGTATCTATAGCTATTATGTGTGTTGCTACAAGCCAATTGCTCAGGGTTCACGGATGGCATGTGCAGGCTGATGATGGTGTTATGAGGTTTAAAATAAAGGATGATGGGGAGTATCCGCCTGTTATTAGTTCTAACAAAAGGTTCTTTTCAATGGTGAGTCGGACTGCACACATAAGTAACCCCAAGGTGTTGGTAATATCCTTTCTATATATTTTTAATGTTTTCATCTGAATGAAAGTGATACATATATGTGATGATTTCTGACTTGACTTGTGCTGGGATTACTCCTGCAGCAATCGATATCCAGTATAGCGAGTTCTGGGACAGGTGGTGGAGTAGCTACAACGGGGAGGAGCCATGCGATGACCTCGATGCTTACTGTTGCTGCCACAAGCATTGTGTCTGAAAAAGAAGGTACTATCTAAACTACACAAAACTTCCTAGCTTCGCAAATATTGGATGAGTAGACCGGGCAACTCAGGCCACCCTGAACAACCATACATCATGATGTGCTGTTTGGACATGTTAGTTCAATTGATTGCCTGCAAGCGAACCATCTCTATATACAAAACTGAACCTTTTATTAGTTGCGTGGTACCAGTTTCTCTGTTCTTTTTAGTTTCTTATGGTCTCTGCTCATGCCTTGTGCAATATGACCCAAATTAATGTTTGGAGGATGCATGATCTTTGTTGATGGCCGACCAGTGCTTATAAACAAGATTCGTAACCGAGTATGTCATGTTAGTAAGCACAATGCCCAATATAAAATAAAAACACATGAATTGAAAGGAAATTCTTATAACGAAAATCAGATGGATACATTAGAACTAAAATTGAAAAATGCAACTTCCAATTAGCTTTGATAGAATAGCAACAAACTTCACTTACCAGCAAAAAATTATGTTATTCTCTAGCAATTCGGCTGGAGTGACGATCTTGATTGGTCAATATGGTAGCATACACATTTCTCAGTTTGTGCTTCCATGACTTGGTACAAGGAATGATTTTTGCTATTCCCTGTGATATAATCGTTGCTTACTATTTTATTGCCATGGTTTGTTGTTTGTCATCTAAAAATGTATTCATATGGATACATTCTGAGAGTCTTTTAATTTGTATCGAATTAAGCCGCTTGGTTCGTGATTTCTCTTTGTGTGTCCAGAATTTGTTTATGAATGCCCAATCTAACAAAGTATATCCATCAGCAGGTCCTCACAATACAACATGCGAGGAGTAAGCCAACAAGGCTATCGGACGGGGCCCAACTATCTATATATATGGTCTAATATTATAACATAGTACTAGGTAGTGATCTAAACTATCTTATATTTCTTGATAGAGGAACAGTATTAGCACTCTACCTTGCTTTTGATACCTTTGATCTTTGTACTGTTTCCGTTGTCCCGGAGAGGCACTATGTGTTGCTTTTGTTATAAATCTCTCTCTCTCCCTCCCTCCCTCCCTCTCTCTCTCTCTCAATGCATGGCTATTTGTATGATGCATGGATAGAAGAGATTAAGGATGAGCACTAAATTGTGTTCTCATTTTGGTATGCTGTTCATTGCTTTGAAGTTATTGTGTGATGCAATTCTTCATTTCTTTTGGTATGATGATCCAAACCTACGCATGTTTCCCGTTCATCATGTCAATCTATCAAATTTGAAGCATGACCTACTATGTTGGATGGTCGCCGGGTTGGATAGACTGCACCCGGCAGGGGTGCGGGGTGCGGCAAGCCGCACTTTCCATCTAGTAATGTAAATTGCGAGGAGATGAGATTTGTGATTAGGAATCTGGTTGATGTTGTAGATCCTCCCCAGCAACGGCGCCAGAAATTCCTTTTGATGTCTGCTAGAACTACGTCGGTATTTCGCCAAAGAGGAAGGGATGATGCAGTATAGCCACGGTAGGTTTTCTCTCAGTGATGAGATCAAGGTTATCAAATAAGGAGAACCTCCTCGCACCACGTAAACAGCACATGCACACAAATAACAAATACTCGCAACCCCACGTGTTAAAGGGGTTGTCAATCCCTTCCGGGTACGGCGCCTCAAGATAGGCAAATAACATGAGGTAAAAGTGGTAGATAGGACTGCGGAAGAAATAAATTGCAGCAAGGTATTTTTGTATTTGTCAGGACCCCGACTCGATGTCACATCGATCTAGCTGGTAACACCTCATATCACTTTGCGGCCTCACGCACGGTATCCCCACGGGTGTCGTCTTACCTTTTTCCCGGGACCGTTTGCGCCTTTTGGCTCACGTATATGATAGTGTCGCTAGCATCCATATGATAAAGAGCCCGGGCTGACATGACTAGTCGTAAACCCAAAGTGGCACAGACTTACAGGGACAGGCATCCATGACCCAGCTTCGAACATGTCGGTCATCAGCAAGTGGGTTCGGGCTGTAGCACTGGGCTAGCAGGACTCCGGTAAACCGGGCTGTAGCGGGCTAACAGGACTCCGGTACTCAAAGCGTGACATTTCCCCGAAGGGACAGACACAGGAACGAAGAAGGACACATGCCGGCCAGCCTAAGTGTTCCAGAGCAGTAGCAAGCTACCATGGCTCAGCGGTAACACTAGGAGACATTTCCCGGTAAGAGAGGCTACTAAAGATAAACAACTAGATAGTCAGATCCCACACATACCAAGCATTTCAATCATACACACAATATGCTCGATATGTGCAAATACAACGAAGCATCACAACATGACTCTACGACACAAGTACTTTATTTAAGGCTCAGTGAGCCATACACAACATACACACAAAGGTACGGGTCTCACGACCCAACATACAAGTCATACAATCATACAAGCCAACAGCGGAAGTAACTTGTCTGAGTACAGACAACTAGTAAAATAAAAGAGGCTTGGAAAGCCTGGCTATACTATGTGGTCCTTCACAAGCTCAGGGTCACCACCTGGGTCTTTATCCTACTCGTTGATGTCAACGTCTACATAGAACCCATCAGAAGGGGTTGCAGCGTCTTCTGTAAAAATGTAGATTATAGCAACATGAGTACAAAGGTACTCAGCAAGACTTACATCAGATCCTACATACATGCATAGTATCAAGAAGGGTTGGTGGAGTTATTGCAGCAAGCCAGCTTTGACTCTTGGCTAGACTATCCTACGATACTCCAACTGAAATAGTTTTGCGCACACGAGTCCACTATTCACCACTTCAATACACTACCGAGGATCCACCTCCGTCTTCCTACGGAAGAGCCATCCTCGGCACTCACACTTATCTTGAGGCTTTTAGTAGTTTCCATTTACTTGTCTATGAACTGTATAGGCAACCAAGTAGTCCTTTACCGCGGACGCGGCTATTCGAATAGATCATGTTAACCCTGCAGGGGTGTACTTCTTCATACATGTTTCCACCACTTAGCGTCTGCACACGACATGTGCTCGGCAGACTTCAAGCGAAAGCCGACGTGGGTCTAGACCACGACCTACCTAAACACTTAAGCCTCTAGTCCAGGTTTATCGCCTATTCAGGTTCCATCCGCAGGGAGTCCGGCCGAGGTTTCCCATACGGCCCCGAACGATGTGAACAGGGTTCCCGAGATACCTAACGGGTATTCGGTACACCCGGCCACGTACCTACCGCATCACAGCCCACCCCTACGGTCAGCGCTGTCCACGGCCTCCAGTAGGCTACAAACACCAGAAACTACTTGCAACTCCTGG